ACTAGTTTATGCGAAAATGATAAGCAAACTTTACAAGGATGATATCTAATAAACTATGAGATTCATCTCTGTATTTTGGGCATCGTTATAACAGATGGGTCCTTGCAAGTCAGCAAAACGCTTTAGGGCCTTGTAAATGCGCGCGATTTCGAGCAAAGCAAACATATAGAAATTATAGTTTTCGCTATTTGTTGACGTTTGTCAGCGTTTAAGAGTCCTTCTCACGAAAAAAGCATTTTCTTAAAAATTCGTACTTTTTTTTCCTTCAAATTTTTTCAAGGCCACAATTGATTACCTAATTACCCGGACTCTGAATTTCATGGTCATTGAAAAACTGTGACATTACCTTCTATAAGCCCAAACTTGAGTAAACATTGAAGATTTTTAGCGTTTTGGCGGAGTTTGTGCTTTGGGAGTTGTCTATTGTTTCTAGTCTGTCATTATACAGCATTCTTGTTCAGCGCGCGTGCAATGACCACGCTTGACTGACTTCCGAATGCTCACCAAGATATGATAATTTAGTATAAGAAAATAGAAGGATTCCCGTCACGAGTTGGTTGAATTATTGGCTTGCATTAAACCTATGAAAAACTGATATTTTTTTAATAGTAAGTAATTTTAGTGTGTAGCACTTCTTGATTTTTTTGCAAAGGCACAAGAAGCACGAGAATTGATTAAAAATTGTGAGTTAAACCTCTATGTGTCACTGTTCCAAAATTATCATATCTAGGTGAGCATTCGGAAGTCAGCCAAGCGCGGTCATTGCACGCGTGCTGAACAAGAATGCTTTATCATGACAGACTAGAAACAATAGACAACTCCCAAAGCACAAACTCAGCCAAAACGCTAAAAATCTTCAATGTTTACTCAAGTTTGGGCTTATAGAAGATAATGTCACAGTTTTTCAATGACCATGAAATTCAGAGTCCGGGTAGTTAGTTAATCAATTGTGGCCCAGAAAAAATTTGAAGGAAAAAAAAACTACGAATTTTTAAGAAAATGCTTTTTTCGTGAGATTGACTCGTAAACGCTGACAAATGTGGCATTATAACCACGTGACATTTACTCCGATCGCCAAAAATTTTATGTTATATTGTAGATTGATCTATATTTTATCCATTTTATATGTTAGACTTACAATAAAAGTAAAGGTGGGGATACCAGAGAGCTTCAAAGTAGGATGGTACCCCCCCAAAAAAACTGGGTCGAGTCACCTTAATGAGCAAAACTTCAAAGTTTACCGGAAAATCAGGATCGAGGATCGACGAATCAGGGATCGATGATCGGTTAAAAAGAACTTGAAAATACAATAAATAAATAAATCGTGGCTCAGTGGTGATGTGGGCCGCAGACTGTAGATAAATTTCACCGAACATAACCCCGTTCGCTGTACTGAACACTAAATTCAAGTAAACTAATCCGAGTCTGTCTGAGTCAGTGATTGTTTTGACCAGAAAGTGAAATTTTCCTGGAAAATGAAACGCTTTATCCCAGTGATACTGTAATAAAAGAAAAAACTTTGACAGTTTTTTATTTTTAATTGTACATTTGCTTTCAGTACTCCTTATTTTTCTTGTAATTGTTGTATGCACGACCCCACCAGCAATGCTGATCTTTTTATCGTGCTAAGATAAAGTTCTTATCTATCTATCTATCTATCTGTCTGTCTGTCTATTTATCTATCTATCTTTCTTTCTTTCTATCTGTCATGCTGTGTACAACTCTAAACATTGTACTCTGAGACTGTACGGAGATATTAAAAGTAGATACTAAGCAGCTATGGAAAATGTCATTTCTTTCATGCGATATTGATCTCTTATAAAACGGACAACAAATTCAGCAGAAATACGCGCGAACTGAATTAACTGTGTGTTGTACAAGGTTCTGTTAAACTTACACATTTTTCCTGTGCTGAACTTATACTGTATCGAGCCGTATCTTGGTCCGGTACAAAGAAGCTATGTATATTTATTCTGACAGAGTCATGGGCCCCTGATACCGATAAAATCATCGTTCAATTTTTTGAGTGTAAAATCCCTGAAAGAGTACTCCTCAATGGAGCAATATCAATATGTAGAAGGTTTTCAGAGGTTTCACACCGGTTTGAGGCTAAGACGTGCGGCCTGTCTTTCCTTGCAATTTTTACTTTTTGAGTATTTACATTACGACATACAACACTCGTTTTGTATGCCAAACGAAAAAGTAGTATAACAGCACCGGGGCCTTTGACAACAAAACTCATCTCCAAGCAAGCGAGACTTAACGAACGCTACTAAGAGCGTTCTTGTCTAAACGGAATTTTGTGTTCCATTTCTTAAGGTGGCTCCGTAATTAATACAAGAGCATTTAACTGTGACAAATTTTCCGTCATAACTTTTTGGTTTTTAACGCGATGGCTGCGAAACTTGGCAAAGAACAACAGATATCATTCGGCAATAACACAAAATATTCCGATTTCACTGATGGTAAATATTTCTTGAGAAATTAGTGCTTAAAAGGACCCTACTGTTCAAAGAAAATCGCGTCTAGTAAAAAATTTTGCTGATATTTTTTACTGAAATTTCTGGTATCGGCTTTAATTGATATAATAAATATGCCAGAGGAATTTCAGAAAAATCGTTGGAGCAGAAGTCCGTAACTAAAAGTCGGTCAAAATTCAGCAGTGAAATTGTTTTGGAATTTCAAAAATAAATTACTATCAGGTAGAAGGAGCCACCAGTTTGAATTTTCGGGACAAGTAAATTCAACGCTTGCTAATTCTTAAAACAAAAGCCGATTGCCTATCGTGCCATTCTTTGAAAGGTACTTTTTAGTATTAGAAGAACTATAAATTGCTCCAAACCTTGCTCTGAAGTAGAATGACTTGTTCGTCGACAGTTTTAAAATATCCCTTGGCAGTTTTGGCTAAAACTCCTGCTGCATACATTTTGATGTATTGCCGTGCATTTTCAACGACTTTTATTGCCGTTCGTTGCTTCCAACTCAGGAAAAAAGTATTGAGATTGGACGCTACCTCGTATCAGAGCTCAGAAAGAACTGTCCAGCACCTTTGTTTATGACTGCAAAATGAGCACGAGCGGCAGTTCTGCGTGGAATTCGCACCTCACTCAGGGGGGACGAACGACAATGATGACCATGCTTGTGAGCCAAATAACATCACAGTGCAAAATAAAATTATCGCAAAAATATTGCCCGTGAATAAATTTACGACTCTGAAATTTTTGTCACTCCTTCCTTCAATGAATGGGTATTTTTTTCTTGATTATTATGTTTTGCTCTGCAATACATGTTTATACAGATCGGTTCACAGACATGGGCATCATTGTCACTCGTCCCCCCTGGCTGAGGTGCGAATTCCTCGCAGAGCTGCCGCTCGTGCTCATTTTCTGGTCATAAACAAAGGTACTGGACAGTTCTATCTGAGCTTCGATACTAGGTAGCTTACAATCCCAATACCTTTTTCCTGAATTGGAAACAACGTAAAGCAGGAAAAGCCGTTGGGGATGCTTTGCAATACATCAAAATGCATGTAGCAGGAGTTTGAACCAAAACTGCCAAGGGATATTTTAAAAATGTCGAGGAACAAGTCATTCGATGTCAGAGCAAAGTTTGGAGCAATTTATAGTGCTTCTAAAAACTGAAAAGTACCTTTTAAAGAATAGCACGATAGGCAATCGGCTTTTGTTTTAAGAATTAGCAAGCGTTGAATTTACTTGTCCCGAAAATTCAAACTGGTGGCTCCTTCTACCTGATAGTAATTTATTTTTGAAATTCCAAAACAATTGCACTGCTGAATTTTGACCGACTTTTAGTTACGGACTTCTGCTCCAACGATTTTTCTGAAATTCCTCTGGCATATTTATTATATCAATTAAAGCCGATACCAGAAATTTCAGTAAAAAATATCAGCAAATTTTTTTACTAGACGCGATTTTCTTTGAACAGTAGGGTCCTTTTAAGCGCTTATTTCTCAAAAAATATTTGCCATCAATGAAATCGGAATATTTCGTATTATTGCCGAATGATATCTGTTGTTAATTGCAAAGTTTCGCAGCCATCGCGTTAAAATCGAAAAAGTTATGACGGAAAATTTGTCACAGCTAAATGCTATTGTGTTAATCACGGAGCCACCTTAAGGTCATCTTTGACACCAGTTTCACTCCTCCACAGCCGTTTTTCGGTGAATGGAACTGGTTTGGTCAAATGGTTAACGTTATTCCACGAGGTAATTTTCCTTATATGAATTTTGCGCAACATTTGCCCAAACTGTGATTTGATCGGGTTGATCATGTAAATGGGGAAATGGTAAATGGCCAACCAGTGGTGGCGTTGCAAAATATCAGCTGTTTTCTCAGGCTAAGCCAACCCAAGAATTGAGTTGGTGCGTTTCTTCGCAGCGGTTCAGGATATGTACAAAAAGTCAAAATTACTGTACTTTGACAGTTCTTATAAAAGTGGAGCTTCCAAGTTGTTTATCCTTGTCTGATGTTCATGTTGTTATCATTGTCACAAAACATTGGATTGACTGAGATCTCTTTGGCTCTATATGCCTTTATCTGCATTCCCCAGTGGATGAACAGGGTGTTCAGTGAAAATTTGTCAGCTTTCATGGTTACAGACATACCGAGAGGCATCTTTCACACTAGTAGGGTTTTCTTGGACAAAGTATGCAAATTTGTACATAGGCTTCACTCCTTGTCAACAGGCTCAGCCTCCTCTGTGTTTTTTTTTAGTTTGTGAACTCTTGTTAACTGAGTTTTTATGAGGACGTTTGTTCACCAGGTGTCCTCCCACGAGCAGATCAAAAGTTAACCAAACCATATACTAAGTTATCTTCGCTACCCATTCAACCATATCGTTAAAGGTCTTACAAAAGGTGTGGGGGAGGGGGATGGGTGGGTGGAACTCCCTTGTCCCATAATGATCCACAACACCAATTTCCGATCCTCATAAACACAAATACTCGCTCACTAAGCTCAAAACGTTGTATCTATTTCACACTCAGACCTGACATGACATTACCTCTTTTACATGTTACAGACAGTCCTAATAAAACTAGAGAAAACTCAGGCAACAAAAAATCTTCACTGATTGCTGTCAACATTTTGCAAAGAAAAACTTGCATGTTCCTATTAGTCCCCTTTGTTCTAAAGCTACTTTTACAACAACAACAATAAATTATAATACAGCAATATCTGCCTTACAACATGGTTATAAAATCAAGTCTTTCCAGGTCTTCTCATACTGAAAAGTGGATAGTGTAGTTATTCAACGCCTTTATTAACTTTTAGTCAAAATCTAAAATAGCGCATGCGTTTTTCTTCCCTGAGGGGGGACGCCTATCAAGCTTATCTATCCCTCCCCTTCTCTAAGCACACACAACAAGTAAGGTACAACTAGAATCTATCTTTTCTCCCTGAACTAATTTAATGATATAAAATTACAATGTTTTAGACAAAATTCCCTAGTCTCTTAATTGTATGGTCTCAATTAGGTTTGATGGGACCTCCAAAGACTCCTTAACGGGGACTCTGATCATCACCACTTTTACTTTAATTTTGGAAATATTTATATTCTACTGAGTCACTGAAGACCTTTCCGAGTCCGCCGACGTTCGCGCTATCCCCGAAAGAAGAACGCCTGATCGCAGGTTAGCTAAGCAATAGAAAACGCTTTCTGCATTTGCATAGCCTGATATGAACAAGAGAGGCTGTTGGGAGAATTCAAGATAGGTATGCTAACCCAATCTATTGCTTTTGTAATGCTTTCAAAACAGATTTTCTCACTTAAATTGTCAGCTTAAGCGAGAAACCTTTGATACAGGATGTCTCAAAGACTTTTCAAGTTTTAAACCTCGACGAGTTAAGGGTAAATTCAGTTAACTTGACGAGTTTTAATCTCAAAATTGTTTTCAAAAATCAGCGCATGCAAAGAAAACCAAAATGACGTCACAAATGTGCTTATATATTCTCATGTAAAGTTAAACACACTCTGGCGGGGCAATCAGGGTGCGCATACTGTGTTGATTATTTTATAATTATGTAGTGGTTCAATTTGATCCATGATTCAAACATTACTTTTCTTTGTTCCTGGGTGTTATAATTTATGATCCCTAGCTTTAAACAAGGATAAAATCGAACATAACAGTTACCTTAGGTCAAAGAAACTGACATGTACAACTGATCGAGTTCTTAAAGGCACTTTTGCCCTGGCAAGACTGTTCTGCGCACTTTGCGCCAGAAAGCTTCTTACCCGAGAAGGGGGTAACTTGGGAGTCCTTAAATCCAGTATTTAAGTACTTTTTTGTTTACAATGGACCTCTTGCTAGTTCAGTAACATTGTATTAATTATATAGTTATGCTGTGGGTGAGGTTTTTACTTTTCTGATACGAACACCCTTGTGTCAAGCATCAGGTTCTGGTCTCAGCTCTAGTCAGTACTGACCATACTATGCATAAAAACCTCACTGTCTGCCACCGCAGCAGCGCCAAATTGACAGTTATCACTCAGCCTCATGCTGCTTATTGAGCATCTTTAATCCACTCCTCCAAGATGGCTGCCACATCTAAGTGTTCAATTTTATGGAGAATGTTTAGCAGTTGATGAACAGTGACATAAGGGTAATGCTCTGCTTATTGAGCACCTTTAATCCACTCCTCCAAGATGGCTGCCACATCTGAGCGTTCAATTTTATGGAGAATGTTTAGCAATTGAAGAACAGTGACATTAGGGTAATGCTTTGTAAAAAGAGTCTCAGTTGGATTTCTTTGTTGTCCAATAAGCTCAGTGGTATCTCTGTCCAAGCCAAGCTCTTCTGCCACCATTCGAAAATCATCAAAAGACCAGTCACGTCGTATGTTTAGCTTAATGCAAATCTTGGAATAAATTCTAAAGGGTATTTGCCTCACTTCCATGCTCTCCTTCACCTCCTTGGAGTATCTCTCTGATTGGTGGTGTCCCTGTGATTGCTGATGACTATATGTCTGCTGGTGTGTAGCACTGGGAGGATGTCCAGCAAATTGTGAGACAGGAATTTGTCGGTTTGTTGTGGGTAATTGAGAAGGGTAGCTTGGAACACGCGAATCTGAAATGAAAAAGAGCACAGTTGGTCACTTTATTTTTTCGTTCCGATCTGCACGTGTTTCCATTACTGTATTTTGGAATGGGAATTAATGTGATTGTTACCATGTCTTCTATTTACCCAATGCAGCCAACAGAAATCTACATGCAACGGATTATTGGAGGTCGGCCAGGGCTGCAGATGTTACAATTCAACAAATACCTGAATAAGCAATTTTGAAGTTATTTCTGTTAAGCTCAAAAGGATTTGTATAGTTTCTCACTTCAAAAGTTCCAGGTTATTGACATTTTTTCTCACAATTCAGAGACTACCAGAAAATGAAACCAGCTAACAACACAGGGTGCAAAGAAGTCAGTTTTACAGCAAGATGTTGCCGTTTGGCAAGTAAAAATATTACTTTAAATCCTCTATTAAGCCCCCTGGAAGGGGGGGGGGGGTATTTATTTCAAACACATTTGAGGGGGGGAGGGGAGCTTAATAGAGGCAGGGGGCAAATTTGAGAAAGGGGGCTTATTTAATTTAGCAAACACGATGGTATCAGTTCTTCACAAAGAACTAGAATACAAAGTGGAAAACCTTTATAGTAACAAGACATTGGAGGTCATGCAGCCCAGGATCAAGAACAAATCGGAACTTCCACTGGTGAACTAACAATCCCAGATCAGTCCACACGAAGTTCTACAGTTGTGATTGATTAATACAGTCTATCATTTATTAGTGAAGAAGAGAGAGTGGTAGGGCTTAAAAGAGGATTTCCAGTAGAATTCACTAGCCCCGATAGCAAAATTCAGTAGCCCAGGGCTAATGGACACGCCTTTCTTTGCACACTGGAGTCATGCAAAGTACCTGTTTGAGAGGCTGTACCTGGTTCAAGGCTGACATAATGGTATTCATGAATATGTCCCAGTAAAAGTTCATCCACATCGCAGGTAGTTGACTCTGGCTTTATGTAAACATCTGGAATTTCAGGATGACTGCTGATGATGTGAACAGCACAGTTTAAATACCTCGCTGCAGCTTCGATAATCAATTGGTCTCCCCATGTGCCATCCCTTTTCATCTTCTCTAAGTATTCTTCCCATGTTGGATACTTCTCACGGTCAACAAAGTTAAACAGGTTCAATAAAGATCCAGTATCATCTCTCTGAAAGAAAAGTAAATCAAATTTATAATAACTTCTGAAAAAGGTATTAAAAGAGCAGAGATGAATAAATAAAGAGTTTTCAAATGTTTTCCATTTTCTGTAAACTGTAGCCAGAAATTGCTTTGTAAAGCTTCAAACAGTGTAGCCCTTTCTTCAGTTCAGGAAAAACTGGGTTAATTTCCTAGTATGTGGTCTGGCTAGGATCGTAACCTATGAGCTCCCACTCTTCTATTTCCATACCCAAAGATTTACCACTTGCCCTCATTCACAAAAAGATCAGTCATGTCCAATACGCTTGACTAGATTCCAGTGGACAAAAACTGGAGTCCACTGGAATAACTAAAGAAATGAAAGTACAATTTACTCTATCAGAGTCCACTAGAAATGCATAGAGTCTACTGGAGTTACCGAAAGACTGTTAGAAAGATGAAACTGAAGTATAAACAAATTAACCTCAAGGAGGCTAGGGTAAAAAAGTGATCCAATGGAGACCACTGGAAACGCATCGATTCCACTGGAGTTATTGGAAGTTTAGTCATGAGGTGAAAACAGAACAGAAACGCGCTGCAAAAGACCAACTACGCCACAGGTGTATATGCCTCGTTCTCAAAGCCATGAAACGGAACTAGAGCCTTGAAAAACAACCATGTTACACACGAAACAGGGACAATGATAACACAGGACTATGTATGCTTCGTTCTTTCAGCCATGCTTTGGATTTAAGCAATGAAACGGAACAAGAGCGTTGCAAAATGAACATGCTACATGCGAAACAAGGACAGGGCATGATCATGACAAAGAGCTGGTGTGAAACAAGCATGCTACAAACGTATATGACTCGTTCTGTAAGCCATTAAACAAGACAAAGTGCTGAAAAACAAGCACACTACGCATGTATATGACTCGTTCTTTAAGCCATGGAACGAGAGCACAGAGCAAGTCAGAAATGATGACCTGCTTCAAGGGTTGGTTATCTGTGAAGTTAAAGAGGTTGATTCTCATTTGAATACATACAAAGGTTGGATGATCCTCGAGATACTGAACCAAATCAGTTCTCAATTCCATCTCTGAATAGTATCTCTTTCGTTTCTTGTTTTCCAGTTGGTGACGCAGTGCACTAAACAGGCAATTTCCTTTCCCATCATTATCAACAATCTTCAATCCCTTGGCCGCAGCCTTCCTTTCCAAATCGGTTAATAAAGTTTGCTTGTTACTCTTGACTGGATGATGATGTAATTGCTGTAAATTACATAAAGCTTGTTTTGCTAAAAAAACGAAGAAAAAAAGCATTCTTAATTTCACTCCTTCAAACTATTGCTAGAAGAGAATGGATGTTTTATGAGTTAAGTGAGTCAACGGATCGGATGAGCGGTTTTTTGATAGAAATAAAAAAGTGGTCCTGGCAGTTGTTACAAAATAACAACTGGGAATGACACAAACAGTGGAGAATGACAGACATCATCTTGACTTGAAAGCACCCTACCACTGCTGCCCTCACAGGGCTTCATTAACAGTCTTTTATCTACCACAGACAAACCTAGGTTAAAAGTTTTACGAATTGATTATCTATGTGGGATGAACAGAGAAAGGATAACACTTCATCACCTTCAAAATAATGCAGTTTTTGAATGTTTTGAGTGCTTTCAGATTCTACTGGCAAAAAAAGATGTTTCTGATCACCTTAGTTTAACACCTTTTTTAAACACCTTAGAGAGCTCCTTAAAAAAGTCCACCTTCAAATAAACTTAAGCATCAGTTTTTGTCTTGAGCTGATATAATAATATCTGTCAGAAACAAGAAACAGTTTTTGTTTGCCATCCAGACAGAGAGAAGTGGACTGAAAAAACAGGGTGCAGCTGACTTTCTTTGGACCCCCTTGGAGGTGTCTGGATATATGGTAAAAAACAGGGTCAAGTGTTTGATCTGTAATTACTCAAATAACTAATAATTCAAGTCTTACAAGTTTCCAAAATTCTACAGTAATTAACATAAAAAATTCTAATAATTTAGATACCCAAATCGCATTTTTGCTGTTACTTACCTTATTCTTACTTAATTTTGTGAGTATGAAATTTCGCGAGTTTCGTGCTTTGGGAAAAATTGCAAAATTTAAAACTCGCAAAATCTAAAAATTCCTATAAATCCCTAAAAATTAAATACTCGCAAAATATGGCTCATGAAATTTAACACTTGCGAAATTCAGTGAGAATAAGGTATTACTTGAGTGTGTGCTTTCTCTTTGTAATATCACTATTATTGATATTCATAAAATGTGTGTACCCTGCATTGCAGATGTAATCTTACCACGGTTAGTAACATCTGTGAAGCAGCACTGAGATCCTTGTTGTGGGCCCCCAATGGACTTAATGAATTACAGGAAGTGCATTTCGAATTTCCCTTCAATTTGAAAGGCAAATCAACATTGCCTTTAAAAACAGGCCAATCATTGTGCATCCTCAAATCCTTGTACACAGGTAGGGATCCAGAACAAGGATTTCAGCACTGTTTTGCTGCCGGACTTAAGCAGAGGTTTAGTTTTGTCTGAGGCACAGGCTAAATTGTGTGTTACTGAGCAACAAGAATGCTTTACCTGTAGACTGATGGGTTGCACCATCTACTTGCATCAGATCACTACACCTCTGTCTAGAATCAGTTTCATCTTTCTCCACAACTGTGAAAAATATAGCAAAACAAAACCTTGGCCATTCTATAGGACTATTGACTACGTAATTCTTACAATGAGTGACATGTAGCTACAGTTTGCAGTTGCAAAATATCGTCCAACTGTGCTTGGCTGCAATTAACATTCTGCTCATTCATAAATGAAACAACGCTTTCTTCCTTCTTAAGATGGCTCTTGGGTGAAAATGACAGATCGCTTTACGCTTACCTACCGCTTCCCAAAGATATTCATTAAAACCAAACTAGGTGATCGAATGATAAGACAATTATTGAACCGGGGTATTGCAAAATATAGTGATAATTTGTCTCGCAGATCGATTATTTGCCTCAGCCTTCAACTTCAGCAGATAATTGATCTGCTTGCCACTGACAAATCACCATATTTTGCTCAACCTTGTCCAATAATTAATTTTTCCCTGTTTGGTTGCACCTTCCTTTTCAGTTTTTTCCTTCAACTTTGCTTGTGGAGTTTTTCTTGCTGACTAAGATATACATGTAGTCCTTCAAAACTATACATTCCCTGAAAAAAGAAACCAATAGCAGGGCTGCAAGTAACTTTTTCTCTTTGCAGCCCTAGAATATAATCTGCTAGCCTAAATGAAAAATGATGTGACTTACCAGTAGCAACTTCTTGTCTTACAAGATCCACCACATCATAGCGATCAATTTGCTTAAGGCCAGTAAGCAAATCCTTCACAGTTATATTTGGTTTGCACCGCTGAAGCCATTCAAATAACATCTTAGTGGGACTCTTAGCTGAAACTTTAGAGGTGTCAAATGCATCATATTCCTCATGAGGAATTTCTAACCTGTAAGCTAAATTGCGCCAGTTCTTAACAGCTCTCATTTCTTTGTTTAGGCGTTCTCCAATATCTGCCAAGAGTTCGGAACCATCAACAGCAACCTTCCTTACCAAAGAAGAATCTATTTTGAATAAAACAAATCATGACCAGGGTTAAATGAAATATTTCTGGTGTGAGTACATTGAAATGTATTTAAAAATTAGGAAGTGAATATTTTTGTGCTGGTAAATGACTCTGGATACTGTAATATGTAGTTACAGAAAATATCCATACTCCCCACGGAGGGCAACGGAAATTCAGAGGGGAAGGGGGCCCAAAAGGAGGCAATTTCCAAGGGGGTGGGGGGGGGAGTAAACTTCTCGAGTCTTTTTTTTTTCCAGGGCTTCAAGTAAGATTGATGAGCAAGCTATCAGTTATTTTACTGTTAATCAGTGATTCAAATAAAAAATTATTGTATTCATAAATGATCTTTTATTTGCGATACACTGAGTGGATGTATATTAATCCCTTGTTAGTTATAAACCAACTTCCTTATAACAAAATCTCGTCTGAGTCTGCATTTGTAACACAAAAACCCTATGCGAGGGACATGTAAAATTGTAAACTTTTCTCAGCCATTGTTTGAAACTCCTATGATCTGGTTGGAATCTTTCAACACAACAAACACCCTTAAAACATTGAGTTTTTAAAGTCAATTATTTCCTAAACTGCCTTTTTGTACGTTATGCATTCTCTGTGTGAAAATAAAAACATTCCTAGGTGAAGAAAGTATATTACACCATAACAAAATAAATTGCTTCCCATGATAAAGCAGATTTTGATTCCTCAGCAACATCCCTACATCTTGCACCCTCTCATACTGCCTCTTCAACCCACTTAAGGTTTGTTTACATTACTTGTGAAAAAAGGCTGTGGAGGGGGTGGGTTGGGGATTCTGTTAAGGTGGGGTTTACTGTGCTGGGTTCTATTTGCAGATACAGCTGTGAGTCCAGTTATATAAGGTGTTATGACTGGGGCTAAGGTTCCAGTTACAGGACATGAAGTCACACTTGCACACCTGCAAATTAAATCCTCTGGGATCTACAGTACATTTAAATCAAGACCGAATGATAATGGACATGAAAGAAAACTTAAAATAGAGAAGAAAGAGAACACAACATCAACTGTTTATAACCAAACAAAACACAAACCTTTGCACTTGTGCTTAGTAAGGATGTTTACTATATCCTTCCTTTCCATTTTAACAAAGTGATTGCGCAGTTCACCCATGGTCAAATCTTTAAGACCATCAGCAGTACTCATGTGTTGGAACAGTGCTGCTGTGGGGCCTGAGCCCCTGGATCCAAACTGCTCAGTCACTTGCTTTCTGATTCCAAAGAGTGTCGCCAGTGATTTCCAGTTGCCAATTGTTCTAGACTCTGTATCAAGCTTTGATGATAGCATGCTAATAAACTTTGGTAGGCCAGATATCAGGTCAGCTACCTTTTCCTCGTCATGATAACCCCCTGTAAGAAGAGAACATTGGCAGGTATAATTTCACTGAAGAAACATAGGCAATGCAGATTGCTTCATACATGTATGTACATGTATAAGACCCACATATAGTGCAAAAATACTGTAACTGACACTATCGTACTTTTATATTGCATGCTTTGGACTTTTATGTACCTCCAAGTTCTTTAATTATTATTTAATTTAATTTAATTTAAGAGTAGAGGTCTTTAAAAATATTCATGTAATAAAAATGTCACTGAGTTTGCCTGGTTATCGTTGACACAAAGGTAATCCCTTGCATTTAGAACACTGTCCTCCTTATATTATTCAAAACTGCACAAACAAGTTTACATAGTGGACATAGTAGAGATGTGCAATACTATAAGCAATCATCTTCACCACACATGAAATAAAAAATTGTTTTGTCTTAATACCTTTTATTAAACTGTCAATTACATCATTGCGATATATATTTGCCAGTTTGGTCTTCAACTCTCTAACTTCCAAATCCGGATGCCAGTTTTCAGCAAGATAGTTAAACATATCCTCAGTAGGGCTGTGTTCAGTGAACATGTCAAACTTTCTTGTTTCCTCAGCAGGTACATTCAAAACAAATGCTAAGTGCTTCCAACACTTGATTACTCGACTTTCGCGGTCCAGGTACTTTGAAAGTTTCTCCAAAAAAAGAGTGTTATCAGTCACAGCCTTCGAAATTGATTGATCATCAACTGATGGGAAAGAAACACAATCAATAACCACTTATAGTAAATAACATATCAATTCAAGTCATTAACAAGCCCTCTCAGGTGAACTGGTGACATCACTGAGAAAACTGGGAAAAAATGTACGCTGTATTTGCAGAACAGCGAATGCAACCTTGAACTTTGTTAAGGAATTCTTTCTACCCTTAAAATGGTTTTCTCCTTTATGCTGTTAGGTTACTTGACCAATGACTGACAGCTGATCACTAGGTCCTATATCTGTGTAGTACAACTTGTAAACACAGTAAACACCTGCTAATAAATCATGATATGATCAACATGTCACGAGCAGGCCAGGGACAAAGAAAAAATCTGAGTCCACGACAGGAATTGAACCTATGACCTTCTGTACACCGGTCGGATGCTCTAACCACTGAGCTACAAAGGACTCATAATTGGGCCAGCTTGGCACAAGTCCTTCATAGCTCAGTGGTTAGAGCATCTGACCGGTGTACAGAAGGTCACTAGGTTCCTCTTTTTGATTCAAACCTGGCACAACAGTTTGCATGGCTCATTTTTTCTTGTCCCCTACTCATGACATGTTGATCACATCACTTCTCATTTTCTTTACCGAGCTTAAAATTTACCATCTTTATTTATTTATCAAGAACCTACTTTTTTTTAAACCTGGCAAAATAGGTTCTTGTATTTTGTGGTACTCACTGGCAATTTAGCCTAAGTAGGTTCTTATTTTTTATGAAGGAGCTAATAGATTGTTGATCACCAGAAAAATAAATAAACTTTCTATTTATTCACAATTGTATTGACCCTAACAAAACTGACCTTCAAATTTATGTGCAGTTTCCTTACCTATGTTCTTATTATACCTAAATTTACAACTCAAAGTTACACTCCTTTGTTAAATTGTTTATCATAATTTACCTGTAACCCACATATAAGAACCTGCTTGATGTTGCTTGGCTAAACAGGTTCTTGTATTTTGGGGTATTAAAGTGGCAAATTTCTGCCAGGAGGTACTTAATCCACAGTTCCTTATTAGTGGGTGTTTACTGTACTTTCAGCCTTTCAGTAGAGTTCAGGGCTGTGCTCTAACAGCACCCGGTGGTCCCTGGCACATTACTTTTGCTCTCGGGTGACTAAAAATTATAGCACAAAAGTATCAAAATGCATTAACCATGGACACAGAGTTTAGCGCAGTAATAAAAATGCCACATGCAAACTTGCATGCATCATCAGAGATTTCTTAAATTACTCACCTGTTAATTTATTTGCTTCCTCTTTTTGATTTGAACCTGGCACAACAATTTGCATGGCTGATGGCGTGGTTGATTCAGGCTTTGATGTTTGACTTGGAGGAAAGGACGGATATGATGAGGAGGAGTCTGTGATGTACCCAGCATATGGAGAATCCATTTGCCCAGCATTGCTGCTTAAGTCATCTCCCGTTGAAGGTTTTTTGGGCCTGGATTGTGTCGCTAAATATCCATGCTGCGTGACAGAATTAGCAGCTAAAGATGAATCAGGAACAGCAGTAGACGAAGTAGCTGTACCAAGGTGACCTGACGAAGTGCCTTCAACAGACCTACCACAGACACCTTCAGGGGCATGACTGGGAAGCAAACCATGATCAGTTGGACCAGAGTCCTCAACAGTATCTTGGTCAACTAATGGAGCAGCCTCAGCTGCAAGTTCTTGTTGATGACCACTTGGTCTATTAATGTGAGAATAACCATTATCATCAATTCTTGAATGAGCCCCTCCAGAAGTATTGCTACAGTCCAATTCAGGATCAGTGACCAAACATGAATCAATCACTGCCTGGCTAGGTCCTCCAAATGGAGTGTCCCTTTGGGTCACTTGAGAGGTGTCTCCCAAAACATCACTAGAAATAAAAGCTTGTTCAATATCGGAATCAGTTTCATTGGTTATTGTTTTACACTGGGAGGTGTGACTGCTAACTCTATCAGTTTCCTGCTCAGAACATTGAGAAGAAGAAGGTAAAACATGACTGACACTCTGAAGATGATTACGCGAGCCATTTGGACAGTTTTCAATTTGAATTTTATATTCTGAGCCATCCTGTACAGTACCATTACTGTTTAAATTGGCATCAAAATCTTGATTACCAAAATTATCAGCAGTATCTTGAGTAACAGGCATGGATCTACTGCCAGACTGCTGCTGTTTGCCCTCCACAACACCTTGATCACATTTACTTGTAGCCTTTGAGAATTCTTTTAACATCTTTTCTTTTCTTTTTGCTAGATCATCCAAAAATAACCTTCTTCCTTCTTGCTCCAAGTCACCATTTTCCATTTCTTGCACTCCAGCCGCAGCCTTATGAACACTTTCCTTTGAACTTTTTGGTATCTTCTTTTTCTTCTTTTCACTTCTACTCTCCTTACTGTGATCCTTTCCCATTAGTCCATTCATGGGTGCAGAGAAGTTGAGCTATTCACGTTCCATTGAAAACAGCTCAAGATTCATCTGAAATATGCAAAGGTTACAAAGGTGAAGAAAAACTCCACAAAAATCTTTTGGGCTCGCTGTCAGTCAACTGCAGGGTAAATCACAACCCATAGTAAGCTCACAAATGGCCAACAGTTGTCCAACTGTTTGCAGTCAGTCAACTATCAACTACATGTATCAGCTGACAAAAGCGTGAGTTAACTGGTTCTCAGCCAGCTTTATTTATCTAAAGAGCAGGCAAAATACATCCTACAATCAGCGACAAAATGAGTTGAGACACTTCACCCACAACTGGGCTTCTTTACGTTTTACTAACTTCAAAAGGAGGAAATATAGCTTTTCTTCCCCCATTCCCTCCATGCAATGTTGTGCCAATGTTTGAGCTACCTATAGAAAAGAACAAACACCCTAACTTTGAAAGGAGGTGACAGGGGAGGGGTTGGGATGTTTCAACAATTTTGTCACCAATTGTAGCACCCACCTAATGAAAAAAAAGTTCAATTTGTATTTATATGATAAGTAAGTCAAGAATAGACATATGGTCAGAAGACATCTTATATGAAAGCAAATAATGCATTAGTCACTTGAAATGCCACTTCCCCAATTCCCAGTGCATAGCCGGCAATTAAACATTATAGATTACAAAGAAACTCAGATTTATAGTTTTTTGCACTAGCCTGAAAAAATGAGTTATTATTATTTATTTATAAATTAATAACATCATTAGGTAATAGACCTTTCCACAGTTTTTTTTTTCAACTTTTGACACAGATAAATCAGAAATAATATATCGACTCCACTGGAAAGAGTGCCTTTAAATTGATAGAATTGCCAAGTTTGCAGATGGTTTGTTAAAAACTAACGCAGACATAGTAAAATTTTAGAGATGCTTGTATGGTGGAAGGGCTCAAACCCCACCATACAAACATCTGTAACTTTTTGCAATTTTGCGAAGCTATATCTTAGCTTGTTTAAGATGTATCACTCTCAAACTTAGCCAGTTTACTAATTTTACATGTAAGTCGCTCTTTCAAGTGGTGTCACTGGATTCTCCCTAACTGGTGCATGTCAAAAGTTGAAAAAGCTGTGAAGGTTCTTTTAATATTAATTGCTTTTATTAATCAATTCATTGTCATAGTAAAAAGAATCACTTGTAATAATTTTGCTTTGTCAGATCAGATTGAAAAACAGCTTTTGATCAATTTTTCTTGCAGTGTTAATGTAATTTAATAATAATTATGATAAATATTTTATTTAGACTGCAAAAGACAGATCAGCTAAGTATGAAAAAACCGTTGGTATAAACCTATGTGCAGTAATAAAATATTTCAAGATTAAAAAGAAAAAACAATAGTACATAGTAAAATAGCAAAAAGACTAATATTTACAATACAAAAAGGTGTTAAAAAATTGAAATGAATTAATCTACAATGTACATTTATGCTGTGTTTTGTCTTGTTCTTGCAAATACTTCAATGTCTTTCTTTTAAAAGATCCTAATGTTAGGCTATCAACCCATAATTCTTTTCGTAACTCGTTCCAATCCTTTGCTCCTGTGAATTTAAAGGTAGACTGGCCAATAGTGGATTTGACTTTAGGCAGAGGAATTTCTCGTCTATCTCCTAAGGTTCTACCGTGGCATTTGGATCTCAAGGTCATATAATTATGAAGTTTCGGTGGACAGAGCTGATTGTTCACAATTTTGAACACTAGCTGAAGATGCATGAATCTTCCCCTACTAGATAGTGTTAGAAGTCCTAGTTTGTCTCTCATCATTTGTGAACAAGTCAGGTGGTTTGCCCTCAAGATAGTCCTCATAGCTTTGTTTTGTAATCGTTCTGAAAAATCAGAGTTCTTTTTGGAGCAAGATCCCTATAAAATACAACCCTAAACTAAAATAAGTAAAATATTGTCGCTTTATAAATCTTCAAAAGGGTAGTTGGATCCGGAAAGGATGAAATCCTATTCAGCAACTTAAATTTGGGATAAGACTCTGGAGGCGACATAAGATATGCAACTGTTCCAAGATAACAATTTGTCTACTATCGCACCGAGGTACTTAAAGGATCTCTTCGGCTCTAGAAGCGAATCACCGTAAGACATACGAACATACATACGAACTGTGTGATTCAATAACCATTGTCACCGTCTTTTTTGTGTTACAAATGAGACCATTGTTAGAGACCCTCTGGCTAATGCTTCTGATATCCTCAATAATTCTGTACTTGGCCTTGATATCCTCGATAATTCTTACTCGTCTTTGGAACTAAAATGAAACTCAGTATCATCTGCAAATAGCGCAACATCAGAATTGTGACATGTTTTAGATATGTTGTTTATATGGATATTAAACAAAGTTGTACCCAGAACTGATCCTTGCGGGACTCCAAATGGGAGAAGTTGAGGCTCAGAAGAGGAGTCTCTACATACAACAAATTGAGATCTGCCTAATAGATAGCTATTAAACCACTGAAGAGTGTTCCCTTTAATACCATAAGATTCAAGTTTGGCAAGCAGTATATCATGCTTGAAGAAATCAAATGCTTTTCTCAAGTCTAGAAAAACGCAAACAGACTTTAGACCATCACCGATACCAAACTTCCAAGAGTCTACTACTTTGAGCAATGCCACTGTCGTCAAAGAAAATTTGGAATAGGCAAATTGGTGCTGTTCTATGAGACCGACCTCGTGTGTGAACTTTCGTAAGTCGGTGTTAACAAAAGACTCCATGATCTTCAAAATACAGGGCAATACCGAAATACCGTATTTATTCGAATAAGCGCCCAACCTCGAATTAGCGCCCACCTCGAATAAGCGCCCATGTTAAAGGCAGAAAAAGTTAATAAGCGCCCAGCCTCGAATAAGCGCCCACCCCACCCCACTCCCTCCCACAATAACTGCAATAAGAGATAATAAGAGACCTTCCCGGAGACGGAGTTTTCTTCAGAGTATTTTACAGAAACCTTGCTTTGTTACATCTTCACTTTTTGTTGGTACCATTTACTGTCTGGTTGTAAAATATACTACTACACTTGCTGAGAATGGTGAAAATTTAATAAGCGCCCAGCCTCGAATAAACGCCCACCTCGAATAAGCGCCCACTCTCAAGGTCCAAAAATTTAATAAGCGCCCAGGGCGGTTAATCGAATAAATACGGTAGGTCGATAATTGTCACAATCAGTTGGTGAGTGTGGTGGTGGTGAGTGTTGTAAGTATTGAGAGTGTTGTGTTGGCGAGTGTGGTGGTGGTGGTGTCACCCTGGCTATTTTCCAGACAGATGGAAATTGACCAGTGCAAAGCAACACATTGAAAAGGTGAGACAGACTCAGAGAAATGTCAGGTGCCGCAAATTTAAGTGCCTTTACAGAAATTCCGTCACATCCTGTGGCTTTGGATTGATTGAGTTCCTTGAGAGCTTTAAAAACTTCGTGTTCATTACATAATGAAAAATTAAAGGTCCTGATGTTGGGAGAAAAAGGCTCTGGTGCTGTTTCAGATACGAGATTGTGATGATTGGCCAATAATGTTGTTGCAATGGAAGTAAAATAGGCATTCAATTGCATTAGCGATATCCTTGTCACTAGTTAATTCTTTCTTGTCTACAGTTAGACTGCTAATACTACTTTTCTCGTTCTTCTTCCGAAGAATCGAGCTAATTGCCTTCCAGAAGCTTCGCGGGTTTGATTTACAATCTTGTAATTTATCAGTAAAGTAAGTCTTTCTGGCTTTTCTGATAATTGAGGTAACAAGATTACGCAGTCGCCTGTATTTCATCCAGTCAGAGGACCAATAGAATTTCCTAGCCTTTTTGTGGTACTTATCGTGCCTCCTCATCATGACCAGAATCGATTTGTCCAATATTTTTAAAATTGCCCAAACAACTGTACTTGCCAAAGTTTTCCTTTCCCAGGCTTGGGCAAGAATTCACTGACCAGATAGCAAAATCCAATATACCCAGACCATTGGACATGACTTTCTTTGTACGCTGCACTAGCTTTGCATTAAAACACCACTTATTTCCTCATCCCATGCCATGTAGTTTGTTAACATCTCTGTCTAGAGGGGCATGAGAACTTTAATCTTTAATCTTTCTTTAATCATTAATCACAGTTCGTAACCATACATAACTGATACAAATGAACTAATACTAACATATACAATCGAACAAAAATACAAAAATGGTTAACAGGACGGTAGTAGGGGGAAACCAAATTCCCATGCTAAGACATACCTTCCAAAAAAGAAAAAAGAAAAAAAAGAAAAAAAAAATTAATTAATATATAAACATATATTAAAAGACTATAAATTAGACTATAAATTATAAACCTAGATGCCTAATAATAATGCATAAACTTATATTAAAGACACTATGCCTAATATTTTAAGGTAAATTATGAGCGAAGGTACTTAATCAGTGAAACTTTAAAAGACTGAAGGCTAGGAGATGACATTACTTCAGAAGGCAAAGAGTTCCAATCATTAATATATCTATGAAAAAATGAATATTTAAAATAATTTGTACGGGCAACTTTAGGCCTTATTTTATACTCATGCTTACTTCTAGTTCGAGTTATTCCAATAATATCAAAGTAATGATGGCAATTGATATCACAGTAACCAAATATAATCTTATACATTTGAACTAGGCTAAGATATTTCCGTCTCAGTTCTAAAAAGTCCCATTTCAACTCTAAAAGTCTTTCAGGATATTCTTTGTCGGGGCCACATATTAGTCGGGACGCTCTTCTCTGAATTGCTTCGATTGCCTCGGTGTGTTTCACCAGATAAGGATTCCAGACTGGGCAGGCGTACTCGAGGATAGGTATCCAGTAGGCCTTGTTTAATTGGTCTTTCACGCTGTTACTTAGCCTTTTGTATTTAACCCATTTAGCAGGGTCCCCAGAGGATTTAGCTTGTTTCCATAATCTACGCTTCTTGCGAATTAATTTCCGTAGTTCAGCGTTTAACCACGGTGCGTTGCGCTGAGGTTTAAGTTGTTTTGATGGAATATTACGTTCGACAGCTTGGAAAAATAATATTTTCCAAGCATCCCAGACATCATCCACAGTCTCCATAAGATATGAACAGTCGCATTGCAAATTACAAAAATCTTCACGTAGACCCAGCCAATCTGGGGCGCGATAGTTGTAAACAAGCCTACAACTACGTACTGGTCTCTGAAACTTTCATTTTAGTTTGAATTCAATGGAACAATGATCAGATCCCCCAACAGGTTGACAAATTTCCAGATCCTTTACCAGCTCCGGGGCTGTGATGAAAACCAAGTCGAGAATATTTTGTTCGCGGGTAGGTTGAAGTACCAATTGGTGAAGAAAGTAATCCGCAATGATAGCGCAGAAAGTAGACGACAAACTGTCAGGACACGTAGGTGATGGGGTGGACCAGACAATTTGGGGAAGACTGAAGTCACCCAATAAAAGGATACTTAGATTATTACCAGTACGTTCGATAAGCGATAAAGATCTTTCCAACTCTTTCAAGTAGTCGATGTCGCTCGAAGGAGGTCTGTAAAATACCCCTACCAGGACTCTTGAATAACTTTACACCATCTTAATGACAACCCCCTAGTCCATTCAGATTTATTTGCTAGTCTCTGCTAAATGTGTTCCAATAAACATGTCAATTTGAAAGCAAAAACAAATATAGACAATAGAAAAAGTGATTTTTGTACACAGACTGAACATAAGCTGCCATAGTTGGCCATAATAATAACAAAAAAAAACAGATATTAATGAATTATAGAAATGCATGCAACTCTCTCTCTTCTGCTGTCACCTTTAAGAAACCAAGCTTTTTCTTTAGTCATCCATTTTTGTGAAATCCCTTCTACTGCCCCCACATCCGAAAATGCGTTTGTACTGCTGAATCTCCACTAATGGCCCTGCTGGCTCAGGTATTTTGTTAATTCCACTCACTCCGCGTGTTAAAACCTGGCATTGGCCATGGTCTCGCCCTATGGAGATAGCAGAGACTTCCCCCTTCCCCCTGGGGTTTCAAATGACTGATGCATATTACTCATCAATGGTATCATTGGTATTATCAACTCTAACTGTACGTTTAAATTATCATTGAGTATACATGTCGGAAAAAACATCACCTAAGGTTAAGCGAATTGTGGTATATAATAACTGTATTTTTGCTTTAACTAGTGAAGACTAGATACAGTTGTTTAAGAATTGAAAAGTCAAGTTATCGTTCATAACTATCGTTCATAATTACCGTCAATCCATTAGCCTAAACTGACGCGTCCGACTTTTCATTTAAGCTTAAATATCATCGCATAAATGTGATAAATATACATTTTATCAGATTCCTTCGCGCATTTCTAGACCTTGATATGCTGTAAAGGTAATAACTTACTTTTGAAGTAGATTTGATGTCGTTCTACCACCATAACTAAGCTATATTTGGTGGTTACATAGAACCTAACCGTTTTCAAATGCAATAAAAGGGGAAAATACCTTGCCTGTATACAGGAAATACGTATGATCTTGTATGGTCAATTGGCCAGTATTTCATTACAATTTCCAGTTTCTTGAATTGAAAAACATTCAGAAATTCACAGTCAATGTCCTTTCTGCTTTTTATCATATCTGGAATTTCTCAAAAGGGCCCAGAGCAACTCTAAACTGTAAACATTCCAGTTTTCATTTTGCAGTGGTTCCTGGCTTGGAAACCTCGCCTTCATTGCAGACAAGAGCCGAGAAGGACTGGACTGAGCTCAATTTCTTCCTCAATTTTCCTTCACTAATGTTTGGCTTCCTCTTCCAAGGTTCCACGTTAACCTTGCTTCTCTTTGGTCGGGGTTGTGTTTCTTTTCCTTCTATTACGCGCCTTTAACGGTGAAATAACAAACGTCGCATGCTGTGCAGCACGAATGCTAGAGGAGAGGAATCTAAGAAGTCACCGTCATGGCCGTCGGAATTAGGAAACTCAGCGAGAAACTCAAAGGTATTTAAGCTCATGGAAGTGTTATTTTTCGTCTCGAGCATTTTAAACGGTACTTGATATGTAAAACTGGACATTTCGTAAAATATTAAAATATCAGGATCGCATCGTGCCTCTCCGTCTCTCTGGGCTAGAAATAGTATAGCTGTTGGGAAAATCTAGCTAGAACAGTTAGCAGGAAACGGCCAAACCCCCTGGTAAAATCCCCGATCTGGGTTTTTACAAATATAAGAAATTTAGGTTTAATATGGAAATCTTAGCTAAGTTGAGAAACGATTTTTCCTGTTCTGTTAAGGCTACTTATGACTGCATGTGGCTATTACTTTACTTTTGTAGAATACTAGTTTAGTAACAATAATCGGAAAATGTACTGTCCCCTCCGAGCCCAGGGTACAGGGCTGCAAATAATTTCCCGGCTGGCGCCGGTCAAATTGTCCGATCAAACCTATTTTTGCTCGGACATATCCCATCTTTGGCCGGACAAACATCAATTACGTCTTATTGATATAAAAGTGCCCCCTCCTCCCTTCACATGATGTTTAAATATGTAACAAGTAAATTTTCAAAGCATTTATTGTACATGAGCATCGATCTCAATGCAGGAAAAGTGGAACGCATGGTAAGCAAAATATGTATCACATTTGTGCGTACTACTATTGCTTCTGCGTCTTATATACGGTTAGTTATGAAGTTGATGAAATTGACTGAGGCTTGCAATCTAGTTGATTTTAAATGTTACCGGAAACAGGGAAGCTGTTCCCCTAAGATGCGTGATTGAACTTTTAAAATAAAAAAATGGAAGAGTTCTTTTAGACATCCGAGGACGTCATGTTACGGAAACGCAGTTTGGACATATAACAAGGGAACACCCGGATGCACTGGAAAGGGTTTTCGAAGACGTTGATGACTATGTTCACATGTCATTTCTTCACCACGTGGTTGTCACTGTACGTCGTTTGTCAGTCACAAGGGGTTTTCTTCTTCGCGAGTTGCCTACTATCCAAACTCTGTTTCGAGTTTTCAATTACTGCTTCTCTTGAGAAGTGGCGATGTCCATCCAAATCCTGGTCCACCGAGCGGAATTGTCAGTTCTGAGTCACGGAAAGATGGCCCTGATCTTCGTGGTTTGCAAACATTTTACGCCAACGCTCGCAGTATTGTCAACAAAGTTAACCTACTTGAACTGGCAATGTACCAACGGAACTACGATCTAATTGTACTAACTGAGACACATTTGGACCATTCGATTCTTGACTCGAGATTTTTCCCTCTCACTACACTGTTTTTAGAAAAGATCGTAAGATTAATGGCCGCCATGGCGGTGGTGTACTCATTGCGGTACGTGATTACATTACTGTTTCTCTTCGTCTGACTCATCGGTGCGACTCTGAAATGCTTTTTATTGATGTGCTCTTATCTTACAACCGACGGATAACTATCGGCGTGTTTTATCGACCCCCCGGGAAGTGATATTAAGCCTTTGGAAGACCTTCAGACCTTTATTCAAGGACTTGATTCAACCGCGGATTTAATTCTGGTTGGAGATTTTAACTTGCCGGAGATCGAGTGGTCATGTAATAGAGCTTTACAACAATCTCACAATCACGCCCTTTTAATTGATATAATTCAGGACAATTTCTTAACACAGCTGGTCAGTGAACCTACAAGGAACCAAAATATTCTAGACTTGTTAATCACATCCTCGCCAGATATCATTGATCGTCTTGTTGTTGGCGATTGCTTCTCCGACCATAACTCTCTTAGTTTTGAGATCTTAAGATCACCCTACACCCAGCGTAAATCTCGGAAATGTTTCTATTCATATGGCAAAACTGACTGGGCACACCTAAAGATGTTATTGGCTTGCATTCCTTGGAACTGTGCTTTTTTCGATGATGACATTGAATACAACTGGTCTTGCTGGAAAGATCTTTTATTTACGGCTATGGATGAATGCATACCCGTGCGTCGGGGCAAGAAAAAATGTAATGCACCTTGGATAACAAAGGATCTCATTTGGTTGTGCGGAAAAAAGAAATTGTTGCATAACAAAGCGCGAAAAAGCAGCAATCCAGCCCTTTGGGAGAAGTACAGAAAACTGAACAATGTCGTGAAAAGAGAATGTAACTTAGCTCGATGGACATATATCAACAATATGGCCTCTGATATTGCAGTTTCTGGTAATTCCAAGCCTTTCTGGAATTATATTAAAAGCAAACGTAACGGTACGAATACTGTGGTATCTTTAAAGGTTGGTGACAAAGAACTGATTGACGATGAGAGTATTGCTAGTAGTTTTAATTCTTATTTTTCATCTGTTTTTACCTCTGAGGACTTCACCAACTTGCCTTCTTTAGAGCCTTTAGTTTGTGAGAAACTTAATTATATTTCCTGTACTACTGAGGAAATTTTAAAGCATCTTAAGTCTCTTAAGTCCCCGGGTCCGGATAGAATTTCACCAGTAATTTTAAAATCATGTGTGTTCGAATTGGCGCCCTCGATCTCATTTCTGGTTAACAAATCTTTCCTGCTGGGCCATTTGCCCGAAGATTGGAGATCAGCTGACGTTGTCCCACTTCATAAGAAAGGTTCTAAACACTTGAGGGAGAATTATCGTCCAATTTCGCTTACATCCATGATATGCAAAATCAGCGAAAAAATTGTACGCGATAGGTTAACGTCATTTTGGCAAGACCAAAACGTGATAAACAAAAACCAATTTGGTTTTTTGCAGGATAGGTCTACTGTGACCGAATTACTCTCTACTTTTCATGACTTCGCGAGATCTAGGAATTCATCTGTAGCAACAGATGTTGTATTTCTTGATCTCGCAAAGGCTTTTGATAGTGTTCCTCATGAGCGTCTACTCAAAAAGTTATATAGCCTCGGTATTGAGAGCAAACTTCTTAACTGGTTGAGGCATTTCCTCACGTGTAGAAAGCAACGAGTTGTTGTAAGAGGGACTTTTTCTGATTGGGCACCTGTGATATCTGGTACCCCACAGGGAACTATTCTTGGCCCAATTTTATTCCTATCATATATAAATGATATCGTTGATAGTGTCTCTTCAAAAATTAAATTATTTGGAGATGACACAAAGATTTACAGAGAGCTTCGCAACCCTAGTCTCGATGAGCAATATCTTCTTCAAACTGATTTGAGTAATCTTGGTAAATGGGCGAAAAAATGGCAACTTAGTTCGTTTCAATGAGGAAAAGTGTGAAGCAATGCGAATAACGCATTCTCGTGACAAATCGACTACGAATTATAAACTAGGTACGGCTTTAAAAGATGTCAAGAGCTTTAAAGATCTTGGAATTATTATATCAAAAGATCTTACTTGGAGTGTTGTATTAGTACTATGGTGAATAAGGCGAACCATGTCCTAGGGCTAATAAGACGGTCTGTTGGAACAGCTAATACAACAACTTTTTCATTGCTTTACAAAACATTGGTCAGACCACTTCTAGAGTATGCTGCTCCAGTCTGGAACCCATATCTTGTCAAAGATATTCATGCAATAGAGAGCGTGCAAAGACGCGCGTCAAGATTAGCTCTTAGGCAAAAAAGAGGTGATATGTCTTATGAAGAGCGTTGTGACTCGTTACATTGGTCATCTTTGTCCAGTCGTAGGACATATTCCTCTCTTGTTGAATGTTATAAGATCGTGTTTGGCTTTAATATCACACTTGGATTTTGAGGAATTCTTTCAATTCGCAAAAGTCAAATCCACTAGGGCAAATTATTCGTATAAGCTTTATTGTAAATTATCTAGAATCAACTGTTTTAAATATTCTTTTTTTAACAATGTAATTAGTTATTGGAACAATTTACCTAGTAATGTTGTTGAAGCCGGTTCCCTTGAACTTTTTAAATGTAAACTCAAATCCTTTTTAAAGTTGTAATTTTTATTGTTTGTTTGTTGTTTTTAGGAGAGTTTTATTCGTAGGGTTAACCTCTAGACTCTCCCTTTCAAATTCATGTAGTTATTATGAGTTTGAATAAACATGTATGTTATGTTATGTTATGTTACCTGTTTAACTGAAGTCATTACATACCACATTGACAACATTTGTAAAGGATTATCGCAAATACAATTTCTTTCTAATCCATTGTGTTTCGACTTGTCAACGGTGAAACTTACTGCATTTTTGCTTCAGTCAAGTTTGAGAAGTTTGACACGTAACACAATGAAATCTGCGGTCAATCGTTTGAGATGAATCGCGTATTTAGACCTATTTAGGCCAGGTAAAGTTTACATGTTGTCATATCTGAATTTACAGCTAAAAAGGTTTGTTTCCCTAGAAAACAGGATGTTCAGTTAATCGCGGTTTATAGCTTAAGTGATTAACACGGAAATGTCGACAAGTAGACAAATGAATGTAAACTTGCTTTCTTGTTATTGTTATTTTCACACGTAAATTTTGAAGACAAAGGGTGCCATGACCCTTGGACCGACACTGAGAGGTTTTGTTGTCCTTCTCACATCATGTTTACAAAACCCACACGGACTAATAATAAAGCAATTCACACCCGTGACCGGTACACATTACCCTGGGTACCAGAGGATTTTTCCTCGCTTGCGTCGGGGAGCTTCGCGCGTGTTTGGCCCACATCTTTAAGACCCGCTAATTTGCGGTGACGACTTGGTGAATGACAAAGCGAAAATGTGCAACGACAGCCGGAAATTTTATGACTACTACGAATCATTTATTAAAAGTTCTTGGTCTGGTAGTTAAGTATCCGTCTATTCCCCTCCTTTTTCACAAACCCCAATAATATTGAACCTTTAAATATTTAAAACTTGAACTCTAAATTTTTCCTTACCAGCGTAAACGACCAGACAATAATTATTGTCCGGCCAACTAAGGATTTGCCCGGACAAAATCTATTTGTGACCGGACATTGTCCATTGACTGGCCGTTATTTGCAGCCCTGGGGGTACTCTCTTTATATGGCCTATTCACTATTTAACAAATAGATTCCATTTTGCTGTGTGTCTGTTCAGTAACGGATCACAGATGATGTTAAAATGTGGTAAAAACAAAGAAGGGGCACACAAGCCACAGGCAAGTGTGTCACTGATGTTTTTACCACATTTTGATGGCCTCTGTGATCTATTACTGAACAGACCTGTAGCTACATGGAATCTATTTGTTTTATACAATTATCAGAAAAGAAAAAAAGACACTGATACATATACCTGCCTTGTGTCGCTTGACTCTTTAAAGATTTGTGCTAGTATAGGCATTTTTTAAGTCGCAAGTGCTATTTTTTGTCTCTGCTTCATCTCTTTTTCTTTATTTTACTTGAATACAGTTTCTTTGAAAAATTTTTCTATGTCTTTTCTTGGTCAAAAAAGAGTATTAATGATGGCGAAAACATTTTGCAAAACGATGGTAACTATTGCGAAAATTCCTTGTACTTTAGGTGTTCTCATGTTGTAAAGAGCTCTTTCTGTCTTCATTTCTCCAGGCTTTCTTCTTTGTAAATACCTCCTGCTAATTTTTTTTAGGCTTTCACTTGCTTTTTAAAATTGGAAATAATCTCACAAACATTTTCAAAATTGCGTGCCATGTTGAACAAAATAATCGAAACAAGTTCTGCGTGACGTCATCCATGTATCTGTTCTCTGATAGATCATGGGCAATGATCAATCACAGCGCACGTACAGCATTCACATCATTGTATAATTTCACATAGATGATAATGCACCTTGTTTACCCACAAAATTTTGCAGAAGTATTGTCTTGGATTTCTCTTGGGATGACTGTAATACCCAGGAGAAATTGGAAACAATGGTTATGTAAAATTCCGGGTGCGTAAACAGGGTGCATTATGGTCTGTGTGAAAATAATAAATACGGAGATGTGCTACTGAACAAAGCTGAGGGGCACTTAAGTTTCAATAGTGCTTAAATTATTGCTATTAGAACTGCGATGGTGATAACTTTGGTTTTGTAAGAGTTGTCACCATATTTTCAGTAGTGCTGTTTGTCTGGGTAATTTTCTCTGAAAAAGGTAAAGTCAACTTGAATCTTCTGAATGATAAAATAGCACTTGGCAATTCCCACATATATAGCCATAACTTTCTCACAATTTTGTTGCTTTGTTTTTCTTTGGTGTGTCTTGTTGTACATTTTTGGGGAAATATGTTTTAAATATTTGTGCTAAATTTTAATTAGGAAAAGGAAACAGAAAAGATGCTCCCAAGAATGAAGATGTGGTGAAAGACAAAGAGAAGAAGCCCAGCTTAGAATCTTCATTTGGAAAAAAATTACAGGGAAATTCAAATCAGTCTCATCACAACAGCAAAGGACAAGTTACCAAAGCACCAGAAACAGTGTCATCTTATTCTAAGATGGCAGACAGTTTAGATCATCCTGGTTCACCAGAGTGCACTTCAGCTCCAGCATATCCCAGAAGTCAGTCAGTAGAAACTAGTGGCAAGAGAAGTGGATCAAACCAAAGGAAGATTATGCAATCCCAGGACCCATCAACAGCTGGCCAGGTTCTACCCAAATCTGATGAACATAACGAAAAAGGTCATGAACATACCAGCAGTTCTTTAAATAGTGAGCATTGCCCTGGTGTCCCTGCAGCTAAGGTTGATCCTGTGAGGCCTATAAGCAATAAAATGGATGCTTCAAAAACAGATGGCAGCTCATCACCTAGGATCCAAGAACAACCTGTTGTAACAGTCTCCAAGGATGCAGCTGCTACTGCTACCACTAGCACATGTACTCCTACTGCTCACTTTCCAAAACTAGTAAACAGCAGCTCATCACAAGCATCAACACAAGCATCAACTGCTGCTCCTCCTGCTGTAGTGTCTGCTCTTACTGGTGAGCCTGAAAATCCTCTGAATGGGGAAAATGCTTCAGGTGATGTTCAGCCAGCTGATAGACCACCCCTGACTACTAACCAGGGGTCACCTCCTGATGCTAATTTCGCTGCTGCTGCTGATGGTGAAACTAATAACGGTGTAAATAGTGACACCACAGCAGCTCAGCTTACAGCATCATCTCCTTCCACTGCTGCAGATGGTGATACACAAAACTCTGTTGACCATGAGGATGCAGCACCTGAGAGGAATGAGAACAGAAATTCTGAACAACAGCAAAGTTTAACTGCCTTTCCAACCCAAGTGGAACCAGAGCCCACTGCTGATCAAGAACCCACAGTGACGGCTGGTGAAGAAACACCTCAACAAGAGGAAACAATCAACTATGAAAATTTTCTTGGTGAGTAATTTTCCATCTTGCTGTGGGATCCAGTAATCCAGATTATTCTGTCTCCTTACTTAAGGAACCAGGATTTGAAAATGTTCAAAATTTGGCATATTTTAAGCCATTTGCTCCTGGAAATTTTGCACTATTCATTTATTTATTTGTAAACTCTGCACTTAATAGCCTTTTGAAGCTAGGGTTACTGTCTCAGGCTTTAATGAACCAAAACTGCCATAACTGCCATTTGTAAGTTGATCACTTTGTGGCTTTCTGTTCGAAATGCAAAACATCAATTTCTGAAGTTTGGTCATGCTCAAAAAGCAAACTTTAGATGTTTTAAAAGTGACGAGCAGTCTTGACTGTCACTTTTCACTCTCTCTCTTCCCCTCTTCTTTTGCTTTTCTTGCACCAATTTTTTCTCTTAATGGGTATGCATGAGGCTTCATTTGGGTCCAAAACGTTTTGGGGAAAACTTTTAGGATCTTAGGATTAGATGGATAGAGAGGTAGGTGGGTAGTAGAACAAGATTTTCATGGGAATTTTGGGGTCAAAGTTGCATGGTTTTTACCCTTTTCTGCCACCCCCTTGACTGAATCGTGCTCACTCTGGTATGGTTTGAAAAATCTCTTCACCCTGCACAAGTTAGATGACAGAGTTGTCCTCGACAGCTGATGACACAGCATGCAAAGAAAGTAGTGTCCGATAGCCTGGGCTAGTGGATTTTGCTATTGGGCTAGTGAATTCTGTTTTTAACTTTCTGAACGGGCAAGTGATCTTTTTTTAGGAATTTGAATAAGAAGAACTGTGAAATCAATTCTGCTAGTCAAAAAGGTTTTGGGGCTAGTTGAAATGACGTCTGGGCTAGTAAAAGCTAGCTTCAGCTTGCCCAAATGGCAAGCTGTAAGAATGATTTTCTTTGCACCCTGTGACATCACAAGTGATAGAAGGGACATGAATCCTGTCACATGATTATGGCAGTTCAGTAGCCTGCGTCGCAGACACTCTAAACCTTCTGTATAGAGAGTCTGCGAATTAGTGCACAATACTCGAATCCCGAAGTGTTCGAATCCCGTAGAGTAGCATGGATATATGTCGGCGTTATTGATTGGCTATTTTCTTTTGCAGTTTGTGATTAGTCCGATTTGAATTAAGCGTTGACAGGCCAAACATGACTCATAGCTCGTGACCAGAGAGATTGAGCTCGTGATAGTGTGAAACATGACTTTAGAGACCCCTAGAGTAGCTTGAACAACAGATGTTTTTCTTGCTCTCTTTTTGCGTAATTTATACAGTGCATGGAGTATTCTACCATTTGACTGAGCAATTTTTTTTTGCCTCTTTGAGTCTCACCTTTAGCTACATTTAGAGGTTGTGAAGCTGGTCTGTTTCATACATATTGAGTAATTAGTTCCTGTAGTTTATTTTGTGGCAAATGTTTTCAAAGAGGATTTGATCACAGATGCATAAATGATTTTCTTTTACCTCTGACTAAGCCTTAAGCTTCTTTATTGCGGCTAAATAACCTAAGTTTCTTTGGTTTTCAACGAAACGCTTGGACCTGAATAGCTACATGTGTGTAGTTTTTTTTTTTTTATCGTGAATAACGTGATGATTTCTTCATTTGTTTTGACTCTAGAACTGTTGGCTAGATTACAGAATACGCAATAGTACATCTGCAGCGATTGGAAGACGCTGGGAAACCAGCCGGCAAATTTACTAGCAAATTTTGGCCTTGAAGGAATTATCTCAAAGCGTTTTTTTGCTCAGAAGACGGCTCTAAAGTTCGAACTGATCTTTCGATTACTGTAAACGATCCTTGCCAACTCCCTTCTGTGAATTTTAATTGACATGTCACTGCGCCCAACCGTCACGCACACGTAAAAATTAGGCCAATCGTGCGGCTTGTAAGAAACCCGTAAGAAACCCGCCTATCAGAAACGCTCACATATGTCCTTGCGACTCTGCAGGATATTGGAACGAGCTTTTGTGCACTAATTCGCAGACGGACTATACAAATGGTTTAGACGAGTACGTGGGCCGGCTGCAACGCAGGCTACAGTTCAGGGGCAAATGGGTTAAAGAAAACAGCTTATAGAGAGGAGAAATGTGCCATTACATCGCCGTGGTAGCAAAGATTTTGGATCACAACAATAAAAAGCTTAAGCAAGGACGACAGTGACAATAACAAGAACGTTAAAAAAATAAAGATTAACAAAACAACAACTTTGCACGTGCATCATGCTTTTTTTCTTTTGACATGGAAATTCCTAATTTCATGCACTTGCTCTATGGATTTAGTGAACAAAGCACAAAAATTTTCTTTCTTTTTCTACATTCAGGTACAGTACTTTCAGATTCAACCCCAGAGAATTTTGTTAACAAAATGAAACTGAATAAGATCGATGAAGTCTGAAACAGTGTGAATTCACTTTTTATGTGATGTTTTGGTTTGTTGTCATCCAAAATTTTGCTACCAAGGCAATGCGAAGTAACAACTTCTCCTCTCTGTTGACTTCAAAGGTTCTGTTAATTGTTGAGGTAAAGTTAAGTAGATGTATTTGAGCCAAATGGCTTATTAGGCTGAAGGTTAACCTTCTTTCTGTAGCATGAAGCAATATCATTATATGGAATATTTAGATTGCTTCTTGGATGGGATGCATGTCCATCATGAGGGTATCCCCTGCATTAAATTTGCTGATACCTATTTAGTCTATACACCTGGGTGGAGTGATGTACTGTGAGCAGTAAAGCCTGTTACCCAAGAACACAGCTTGTTAATGACCTCAGCAGGACCTCAACCGGGGGTTTGTTTTTTGAAATCCCTGATATAACTAATGGGCATAAAAAGCTGTCGTTGTTTACATTCAAAATCAAGGTCTTAATAAAATAATTTGCAGATAATTTGATAAAACTCTCTGTTAACAAAGCAAAATGCACTGGTTTTCTTGCTTGTCTTCTTTAGATTTTCATTTGAATATTTTATTTTGGGCCTAAAAAGTTATGGAAGTTTCAAGAAACAGATTCCTGGACCTCTTGATACAGAGTCTATAGCACTTACTGTCACTGTGCCTCACACTATGTTATGTTAATTGTTATGTTATTTCAGAAGGTCCTAAAAATTTTCTCCCACTAAATGTACCAGCCTGCTGAAATTAAAGGCTTCTTCTTTTTTATTAGTTTCAGAAAAAATAAATGGAGACAAATTTATTCAGGATAAGCTATCTGTTAACCTTGATCGCACTTCTCACCGTGTTATAAAAAACTGGGAACACCTTGCCTGTACTGATGAAATAAATGCCCCTCTGAGAGTTCGACTTAAATGTAAAATGGTCGGAGACAACAGCCGTACTATGATGCTGTTTGAGGTGCTGACATCAGAATTTGAGGATAAAACAGTAAAGGATTTGATAGATGCACTGAGCAGGATAAAGAGAAATGATGTAAAAAAGTTCATTACAGATGCTTGTCCAGGTATGTTTACTTACCTTCTTTTCACTATTTTTTCTAACCAAAAACTATTTAGCCAAATGTACTTCCTTCCTTTAATATAATGGTACTAGTAACAGTTGACTACTGGCGGCTTGAACAAAGTTGCACAATGGGTAACCCATGACATCACCTCAAACTGTTGCAGTAGCCAAACGCTAACCTCAGTCTTAAGTTCGTTAGAAACCAGCAGATTTAATTTTATTTGTCCACATGTTTGAGCAGGAATAGGCAGTTATTGGTGACCGCTACTTTCAACATGCCAGGCAGTAGATATATATGCAAGTGCAAAAATATTGTCCCTGCTTATCTGGTCCATTGAACGGATTGAACAGGAAGTGGGAAACTCTTTTTGCTATGTTTTGATTTTACTAGAAAAGCTAGCCAAAAGTAAGTCTGGGGTGGGACAAATTCCCAAAGCCCTTTTTAGTGACGATGTCTTGAGAATTGCTTCACAAAATATTGGCTATTATTTTGAAAAAAATATTGGTTGCCTTGTAAGGTAAGGTATTGATCCTTTTTTCCTAGGGTACAAACATTCCCTTTCATGAAATATATATCTCCTTTTTTAACTCAACAGATGCTGCAGATTCTACAGAAAAATTCAGTGACTTTGTTGCTCGTCTTGAAAATAGTGAACTTATTGAAAACATCGCCACACTGTTAGACCAGAAATCAACTGTGGTTCGAAACTGGTTTCATCTTGGTCAACAATTTAAACTTTCAAATGAAACACTGAAAGAAATTGAATATGGTCCCTTTAGTCCAACTGAAGTCGTAATGAAGTCCCTGTATTCAAGGAAAACACATTTGACTATTGGGACGTTTTATGATGAAGTAAAGGAGTTGAAGCGACATGATGTTTTAAAGAAGCTGGATCCCTTTATTGTTGGTGAGTTGAAAACTTGGACCTTTTATACATGCTTATTCCTTGGACTGAACAAGTTGCAAATAACCTTGAAAGAAAGTTCAGTGCTCTCAAGACTGATTTTGAGTTGACACTGAGAAAGGACTGAATTGTTAAAATTTTAAGCTGCTTTGAGCTTCAATACATTCTAAGGATGTCCATAAAATAACTGCATGATTACATATGAAATATTTTTATATAATATATATATATGTGACCCAAAAGGGACAAGGTTCGTAATATGATATAATGATGTAAGATTACAAGTAAGACAACTTGAATAATTGAACCTTTGGTGCGACATATTTTAGAAAGAAGGATTACAGTGTATACCACCATGTTTTCATGGGTGAATAAATTATTTCCTGTATACTGCAAAAAGAGCATTTTTTTTTCTTGCGTGCATTCTAGCGTTTTATGCTTGCATGACTCTGAACACTTTCTTTTGTTCCAATAAATTTGCATAGATGCTGATCGCGTGAGTGAAAACGTTCTATTTTGACTCTATTGTTGTTATTATTTTTAAAACAACAGAGGCAAGTGACAGAGATAGGCCGATGAAAAACGTCATTGAATTAGAGTCAGACGCCATGAGAAGTATTTGCATAAGCCTGAACAACCCTAACAGAGCAATAAAGAACTGGAGACACCTTTGCAAGTCCCCTGCGCTGGGAATCCCTGAAGATGTGTACAAGGGGTGTGAACCAGGGAAGCAAAGGAGTCCAACCGACTTACTGTTCGAGTGGATCTTTGGTAATAAGGTCAAACTAACAGTTGGTCAGCTCTGCAGCGCTCTTGGAAAAATAGACAGGAATGACATAGTAAGAGATCTACGTGAGTATTTTGAACAAAACTCATCTGGCCACCTGGGACAAGGTTAGTTTAACATGTTTGGCTACACATGTAATGCATAATGGTCCACTCAGGCTTGTTTGCAGAGAGTTCAGACTTGATTTCTGCAATTCTCCTGAGTTTGGCCCTTTGCCTTCTCGGGAAAATTGGTGGAGGCTCACTTTCCTGAACAGTGGCTGGTAATCCAGCCTACCAAATGTCATTCTCTGCATATTAAAAACAGCCCTGGGGTAATGTGTGGAGGAGGAAAGCAAAAACAGGCAAGAAAAAGAGACCAGTCTAGAGAGTAGCCTGTTCCAGGCTCCGAGATAGTGGTGAAAAGTCGTTCAGTAAAAGAAATGCAAAAAACGCGCGGGGGTTCCCATTTTTCTCGCTGCCACCGCCCCCCTTTCCCAAGTCGCGCGTGTCTTATTTTTGCTTTGCTTGTTTTAAAACGTCCGCTCTATACTATCTGAGAGCCTGGCACAGGCTATCTAGAGAGAGATCTGATCAGAGAGATAAGTGTAACGAAGCCTGGCGTACATTCGTTTTTAAAAATTCACAAAGTACTTTGCGTGCTGTTCTTCAGCTGAGAAAGTGTGGACTTTTGACGAACACAAACTAGGTGTGAGAGAGAGATGGAGAGGGCATGGAAAATAATTATCTGTTCCGTGAACTGCTAAGTAACAAGCTGCAGGACAGTGACAGTGCATAGACTATATTTGTTTGATCTCTGTTATTTATGTCCTTTGGCAGGGACATTAAGTAATTGCCCTTATTTAAAAGTGCAGAAGTCAACTAACAATTCAAGAGGTAGGGGATTTAGTCCCCGGATATCAAGTTGTACAACCTCTTTGTAGGGGATAGCGATACTGTAGGCAGTCTGTACCAGGGCCTTACAGTTATAGTGGTCAGAAAATTTTGTTGAAGAGTCCCTGCCAAGTGTGGCAATCAGGATACACAATATTATTAGAATACAAATAATTTTATAAGCTGCTTGTAAGTGAAGGTATAAAGTATGGAGCCCATATAAAGACTTAAAGTTATTGTAACCTACCTTGTTATAGTTACAAGCACTGACATAAAGGGTGTCTTTTAGCCCTTATTAGGCTGATTTAGCAACAGAACGGGAACGTCATTTGACGACGGGAAAGCGCGCGGAAAGGACTAAACGCTACTTCCGGTGCCCAATTTGCCGCTCTGCCATTGGTCAAGCCAGATGTTTGATTTGCGCGCGCAGTCGTCAACTGACGTTCCCTTTCTGTTGCTAAATCAGCCTATTCAGTCCGTGTTTAGTACTGATTGTTTAAAGAAGTGATAAGATTTACAGTGAAACCTCTATTAAGCGGACACCTTTGGGACCATCCCAAGTGTTCGCTTAATAGAGGTTGTAAAAATTGCGCAATGTTTGTTAACGATCAAAATTCAACGATTACTCTGTACTGTGATAAAGTTGCATGCTCTTAAAGAAGCTATCCAGAGTTCAAGTTCATTTCCTTTCACTACCAACTTTAATTTGTGTGTAAATGCAAAAACATTAACTGACTTCAATACGTACTTCTAGGACGTAATCCAATACTACTACTGTCAATTCAGTCCGTGTCCGCTTAATAGAGGTTTTTAACAATAGAAATTAGCCCAATATGACTTATTTTAGTGTCCGCGTCCGCTTAATAGAGGTGTCCGCTGAATAGGGGTTCGTTATAAAGGGAAATATAAGACGTTCATTTCAGGATCCGGCTTAGTGTCTGCTTAAAATTATTTGGGGTCCGCTTAATAGAGGGTCCACTGTATTTACCAAGTTCAAACATTACACAAGGCATAGTAATGCTAAGTCAAACCACTGTTTGAAAAAGAGGTGTACATGTGGTGTAGACCCCAGTGGTGTGGCCTTCTTCACTGGTTTGTTTCAGGCCCATTAGAGTGCGACCACGTAAACTGAGACCACCCAGATAAAATTTTGAGTCAAATTTTGAAATAAGCCTATCACAAATCGAGATCTGCAATGAAATTGCACATAATTTTACTTGACCAGTTGTCTGTTGGTTTGTTCGGCAGACGCAAAATTTAAAGTTCCAACTGCACACTGTTTCGATAATCTTCTAAAAGTAAATTGCCGCTTTTGCATAAACCAATCTGGACGGTATTATGATGACCGCCGCCGATACAAGAGAAAACTATGTCAGTCATTTTTTTGTCGCCTAATATTATTCATGCTAAAAGCTTGATAAAAGTTACATTGTTAGTAATGAAAAATCCAGTTTTGAATCAGGTATTCAGTAAAAACCCGCACATAAGAACCTAGAATTTTTGAGGTCAGGCTGTACAGGTTCTTATATTTGAGGGTTGTTTTTAACAATTCAAGCTGATTAGGTTCTTCAGAAGTTGTCGTAGTGTAACAATCGGCAGAAATATTGCACTACTAATACATAATGGTTGATGATAAAACAATCAAGGTCCTAGAAGAACATCAATGCATTTCTATATTTTATTTTATAAGATATTTAGATTTTAAATCGTCTATATCTAAGGAAAAAATAACAGATTCCCATTTTTGGATATTTTAGGGTATTCAAAGAATACCCACAAAAATCCCAAATTTGGAAGAGTGAGACAAGTCCCAACCAGGGAACTTGGTTGGGAATTCCCTGGTTGGGACTTGTCTCACTTTGCCAAATTTGGGATTTTTATGGGTATTCTTTAAATACCCTAAAATATCCAAAAATGGGAATCTGTTATTTTTTCCTGTGTATTGCACTTAAGCTAAATATGGAAAACATATTTCTAGTGAAAATCCAAACAAATGTTAATTAAAGAAAACACACAATAAGTTTTTGTCGGAAGTTTCTCACACAATTAAAATCCAGAACTTTGATCATCAAAACTGGAGTGATTTTTTTGTATAAGAACCAATTTTTATTTGCCAGACTGAACAGGTTCTTATCTTTTTGGGTATTTAAATACCAAATTTCAGCCTGTAGGCTCTTAAATCACTAGGTTCTTATATGCGGGTTTTTACTGTATTCCTAATTCCACAACATCCGTAGTCCATGAATTTTTCCAACCACTCATAACAAGACTGAATTTTGTGCAGCCAATTTAGAGATCAACAACACCGTGGGAACAAAGCACTACAGTAATTGGCTCGAAAGGTCAAAGCTCAATTTCTTAGGACAGAA